CGACATTGAGTTTATTTTTGTAAATTATCTAGTTGATTCAATTTCTAAATGAAAAAAACCTTGCTATTGAAAAAATAAAACTTGTTTATTTGGTATGGCTGGATTCGGTTTTCTATAAGCTTTTCAACGAGCCCCCTCATGCCTTATGTTTCCATTTGAAAAAAAAAGTAGGGGTAGCTGGGGGTTAGGGGGTTGAAGAAAAATTAATTATTATATAACCGAAATATGGGAAAAAATCAAAATCAGTTAACGTGTTTCGGCGTTTTAAAAAAAATTTACTCATTCAGAAGATATGAATTTTATTCCGTACTTCTGGCCATCCCAGTATGTCAGTTACTATTGAAAACAATAGCATGTTCAGAACAAACATTTAATTAATTTAATTTTGATGGATGCAACCTAATTTTAATTTCCAACGAAATTTTAATTACGTGTCTGTAACACAGTAGTGAGTACGCACTGTGAGATAAAGTTACACCAAATCCGAAGCATGCTTCCAAAGTTTCCACACTTGTGAAGTTCAAGAGAGAAAACTTACCGCAACCAAAACGACAAACTTCCAGAAAGCTAGGCTTTATCAAACACCGAAAAAAAGAAAAACGAGCGGAGGCAGATAAGAAATTACCTTGAGATTGATGCGGTCGACCTGTCTGTTCTGGTTCTCCAGCTCAGAGCCCATGTCGATGGCCATGTTGCGCAGGTTGCCGATCATGGTGTTGACCTGACCGACGTTCTCCTCCATCTCGTCCTCCCTGGCGTCGTTCGTGATACGGCCGATGTAGCCACCCTGGGGGCCCATGCCGTTGCGGTCGTCCATCATCCTCTGGGGCTGGTTGTTAACCACCTTGCCGTCGTCGTTGCCTTTCCATGTGCCTTCGTCCTCTTTGAATGACGATCCCCTGAAACAAAAGAAGTACGTATTGCAAATTGTGTACAGAGGTAAAATGTAGTACATATGTGGAATTTAAAAAACAAATTGGATTTATAATAAATTGCATTTAAAATAAATAGTTTATGAGAATAAAGCAATTTTTGTAGGAACAAGGGTGCCAGACGTGAACTGATCCCTTCGTCCCTTCATAATGTATAAAGAAATTATTCAATTTCTAAAACCCGTAAGAGCGTACTGCATTGGTTCCCTTGACAGGCAATGATTTATTACTTTGCATCGAATATGATCCTACTATAGAATCGCATACGCCGTACTCCAGATCACCTTTTCCGTTCCATGTCAAACCAAAAATTTGCACAATAGAGGGCGTTGTGCAAACATTTTGATCATGTATGTCTTGACTGGAGCTGTTGCGCAACAGTTTGAGTAAATTCGATCTTGTTTGAAATTATTTGTGCAACGCGTGACTTACTCAAACAGGTTTGAACGTGTATGTGAATGTATGAAGGTGTTGTACAACGTAACAAACGAATAGTGTCATACAACTAGAGTTGTTCAAGCGATTTTAAAAAATAAATTAAATGGCTTTATCTACGGTTGGAAATAAAGAATTTTGGCGAGAATTTATGCAGATGAATCGCGATTTACTCAAACTATGGAAAGTTAAAAGTGAACTTAATAAAAATCGAAATTTGAAAAGTGCAGACATTTTTAAGAACAAAATTAATTTAAAAGCAAAATTAACGATATCAGGCAAGCGTGAACAAACTGCTTAAAAATATAAAAAATTGCCTATTTTCAATAAATTTGCACAAACTGTGGTATCGTGTATATAATCACTAAGTTCTACAATATTATGTTGTACAACAAAAGTTTGTGCAAATTGTTTGATAGTGTATGGGGCCTATAACCTTGGCCAAGGATGAGGACCTCAAAAACTGGCTCACCAACTTCTTCGATACACAATCAGACGATTTTTAGCGAAATGGTATCAAGAAATTATTCAAAAGGTGAGAGCAGATTGTAAACAATGACAGAGATTATTGATTAATTTGTTTTAATTATTAAAAAAAAAAATAAAAACGAGGGAACTTATATAGAGAGGTTACTTGCTAATATGAACGTTCAGAATATTCTATCCGCATTCCCAACTGTCAATTGTTTTGCATCAAATTTTAAATTTGCATTTGTGTATTTTGTTGAGGATTTTTTGCGGATATTCGTATCCGTAAATATATAAACAAAAAAGGCAAATTCGGAAGAAGCCATGTTTTATTATAAAAAACAATTTTTATTTTTATTTTGAAGCAAGTTTTATTTTCATAAAAATATGAGATTGCTGATACAACCAAAATATGATTTTCCTTTTATTTAAATATAAAATTTTCCACTTTTAACTGTGATTTACTTACTGCTTTCATATAAATTGGATTATATATACAGGATGTACATAATTTAAGTACATACAAGTAATGCAGAGAATATTAATTTAAGAAGAAAAATTCATATCAACTTATTTTATATAGATACAGGATGTTAAAAATTTTAAAAATATATAACAGGTATGAAAATATCTCGAAGATTAACCTAAACTGAGTGTTTGCCACCTGTCAATATATTACCTACCATAAAATGAAGTAATATGGTACAAAACTTTATCCGTTTTTTTATTTTAGTGCGAAATCATGATGTGACAATTTAAAACTATGACGTGCTAGACTATGCCTTAACTGCGCCATCCGTTAGTAGAAAATTCAACTAAAATCTCATACCACCTCTTAAAGTCGAAAATAAAAAAGTACAGCGCTGATCATTTTGGATGGGAAACTCTGAAACAAATTTCGGGTAAACGACGCATTGAACGAATGGAACAATCATTTCCAATTCACAATCAGTGTAAAATTATAGGGTACTTACAGATTTACAAAAAAATGTGCAACTGTAGAAAAAGTTTCCGATCTAAACTGGTTCTAAAAGCCTTAATAACAATATTTATCTGTCAGTAATTTTTATGTGAACAAAGCACACATATATATTGTATATAAATATAGTCCTGTACACTATGGTTTTATGGTTTTAATGAAAAATGAACAGAAGCGTTAAATTTACATATAAATGGGCAAAAAATATCTTAACAATAAGAATAATGAAACAATGAAATTTACGGCACCTTGATTTTATCATATAAAATCATCTCTAAGACATTCACACAACATACCTTTGGAAGTTCTTTGAGTCAATTTAAAACTGAATCGTTCTGTACATAAACACGATTTGAAATAATTTGGAAGATTCCCACACAAAAAAGTTCGCTAGCATATTACAGCAAACATATAATTTACTATTATCCTTGAAGTAAATTAGATTTTTATTGTGCTGACGTGAGAACCTATTTTATGGTAATGTAAATATACAGGGTAGGAAAGGACCGATGGTCTATCTGAAGTTACGTGAGAGCGATAAAGTAAGCCATAGAAATCCATGCGATAGAGAAGCAGCAATTCATTATAGCCATTATATGGCTATAATGAAGGCGTCTCTTAGTCACCACCCGTTTCGCCCTTCCACAAATAAGATCCACTTCTTATTTGTGGAAGGGCGAAANGACAATTTTCGAAATGGCCGAAATTCAGCTCAAAATTTGTGAAATTTAGGATTTGATTTAAAAACACATTACTAATTTTAACAGAATACGAACTTTTAATTCATTTCCTAAACGTTAAAGAGCACTCGTTTATGAACAATTTGCGGCCTCGTTAACAAAAATTGGTCACTCTGTTCGAAAATTACATTAACCTTATCAAGAAAAGGTTTGCTTTGAACACTCAATGAGCTACTAGTTTGCTCGATGACCCGCTATAATTTCACGCATTTCCACACCCTGTAACTTTTTACTTTATTACAGTACAGTATATTAAAAAGAAACGCCAGTTTATTATTTATTAGCAGTATGTTATTGTAATTTACCGCCCAAATAGCAATCAAAGAAGACATAAATCAATGTTAGAAACACTTATATTTTATATGACATAAAACGGAAAAGTATAAAATATACCTTACACATATCGTATGAAACGTGTTTGGAAGACTTGACAAAAACTGTCACATTTGTCAACATGAAAAACGACTGTAAGTCCTATTCTCCCATTATATAGGCTATAGGCCAGTCATAATAGCTTTTTTTCTGGAAAAAAATACTATTAGACGTTTCTCTGCGGAATATTGTTCAGAAACGTGTTATAAACAAAATATCAAAAAATCAACTCGAGACTAGTTGGGAAACTGTTAAAACAATGGTCAA